AAAAAAAAATCTGACCTTGTTAACCATTGTAACAACAGCTTCAAGAATCTCCCCCTTAAACGGTCGAAAAACCACGCACTGGTACTTCACCGGAAAAGTAACAAATCCGGTACCATCACGAATTAATCCTTTCCCAACATTTTCAATACCAGTGATCGCTACAATGAACCCATGCCGACCGCTGTAAAAAGATACTGATTTTTATTATAATAAATACCACTAATAATCCAAACACGCTCAATTATTCATACCTGCAAGTGCCCTCGACGTCTTTCATGAGTTTAGTGACGAGTTTATCGCGAAGGTCGCGGCCGAAATGACGGGGGTGCAACTGCATGTTCCGCTCCAATACTATGTGAAAAAACATCTCTCTTTTTTTCTTGATTTCTGTAGGATTGGAAGTTCAGACAGCTACTCCGAGAGATTTTGTAGGTATTTTGGAGAAAGGGAGACGGTCGCCAGACTCGGAGGGAGCGAGATTTTGGGCTTATACGAGGATACAGGGGAAATCATCAAAATCAATTGGGTGAGTTAGAAGTTTAAAATATCGAATTTTAATTTTTAAATTTAGGCCAATATTTTCGATTGTACACTCAACTTAAGTCCATAACTTAAACTGCTTACTGAAATTTAAAATATCGAATTTTGGCCAATGAATTTTAAAATATATTGTACATTACTCACTGATATAACTGTTGAACTTTGAAAAATATCGAATTTACAGTGAGTAATGTAAAATATTTTTCAAAATTCAGTGAATAATGTACAATATTTTTCAAAGTTCAGTAAGTAATGTACAACATTTTTTAAAGGTCAGTGGTTAAAACTCGAAATTTTAAATTTCAGTGAACAATCGAAAACATAGATCTAAGTTCAGTGACCAAAACTCAAGATTTTAAATTTCAGTGACCAATCAAAGACATGAACTTAAATTCAGTGACCATTTGAACAATTAACTCCAATTGGGTTATTAATCGGGGGATTGAGTTAAAAAGGCAAGTCAAACTAAACGTTAGTTTAAGAAGACCAGCATTTAAGGTTTTTGTTTAAAAGGTCTAAAGTTATTAAACATGGAAAATTCAATTTGTAAATGACTAAAATGCCCTTATAACGATATTGAAATCGTTCCTGAAAAATAAAACGACATCTATATCATTTCGATATTATAAACACACTGCTTAATTGATTTGCGTAACGATATTGAAATCGTTATTGAAACACAACAACGATGTGTATGACGTTTTGATATAAAATACACACTGCTTAACTACTTAAGAGGGTTAGGCGCACGTTATGGAATAAGTAAACAACATCCATGCTGTATCAGTACAATTTTCAGAAAGAGTCAAAGAAGATACATGTTTCTATTGAAACAATTTGAATGTGAAAGACAATTATGGAATCAC